CCAACAACACCTAATACAAATTTAGAGCTCCTAATGATATCATTGAGGCGCCATCACCTTGTTACTACTGTGTGTATAAGTGAAAATAATATGATGTAGTATTTTATTTACGCATTTAAATTTTTGCCATTGGTATGTACACTACTTCTCCCTTATGCCTTATACTTATGCCTTAAAGGTGGTCTGGAAGAGCTCGCTCTTAGCGATAAGGTCGATCTTGCCCACATTAGTTCTAAATTGTCTATATACCGTTTTTGTAGGCGTATATGAGCGATACAATGTATCTATCTATTTTTTATTTACAAAAATAAAAGATATTTCGGTACACATCTTAACTTTTTATTAACAGCTCCTTATTAACAGCCTTTCAAGAATACTGACTAAACTATTTTTTTATTTATAACATAGTTGTATTCAGAATCCTCTAAATTTTATTATCAATGAAATATAGGGCTTTGCTTCGGTTAATAGAAACATTTGACGTTGGATAAGTATAGATTCGTCAAGTTTAGGCGCAAGATAGGCTTCAGTATTTTTCAAACCATCTTCCTGATGAATTAGCTGTTTTCGAGAGAGATCGCTCTTCACGTTATATTCACTGTACTGCCCTCGATGTCATAACGCATTTGTATTTTAGTAACTTTGAAATCAAAATTTGAAAATGTATTACGGAGATTTTTGCTTAACAATAACACTGAAACCAAATACGATGTAAAAAAACGGCTCGTAGGGTTGATCTCGTTTCGTACCGTTTGATTGAGATCTCTTTCGATGATTATGATATGTAAATAACTCAATTTCCCTAAAAATGTCGATTACGTTAATTAGTCAAGGAGGGCAATGTAACTTTACAGTCTGTCTTTTTTGAAAACGGAGTAAAATGACATTTGCAGGGTTGTCAGATTTTACTAAATTTTAAATAGTCATGTAGTTTTTGTCGACAGTTGTACAACAAGATTCTGAAATTTTGCCAAAAAACATTTGAATTGTGAATGTTACGACGTTCTAATAATTACTAGTTGCGTTGTAGCCTCTTCGTGATTATTTTGACAGTTGGCCTCCTAGTATTGAAATCTGTTTTTATTCATATACTTTTTAACAAGAACAAGCGGATTTGATTAACTATATTGAATTAAAATGAAAAACTTTAAAATATGTCTCCTCTGTGTATTGTTAACCCTTTGACCGCAGTGGACGCTTTAAAGCGTCTTAACTTGGCTGATACGCCAATGAAGCCTTAAAGCGTCAATGAGACCCTTTAATTTTGAGTTGAAATTAATAAATAAATATTAAGATATTCCTTCTGCTATTTGTATATTCTAGTTAAGTGTGGATTCACAGTTGCATATTATGTTCAGTCATGTTCTTCTTTGACTTAGGTGAATTGGGATAAGGTGGAATTACAACATATCATATCATATCGAAATAACATATCACATCACTATATGCATAGGCTTCGCGTCTAGGGAACGAAACTAGTTTTTATCAGTGGCGGTTAAATGGTTAATAGACATACTTCTAAATGCTTCGTATGTATGTATAAACTTACAAAAATTGCCAATTCACATGAACCTACAATGAAAATGAAAGCAGTTGGACGAATAATGGGCCGATGATGATGTATGTAACAAATTAGGCTATTTATTGCATAAACTTAACCAACATTCAGTCAATATTCAATAGAATATTTATCGACTGGAATCACTAGCTGCAGGAAGCGGGCAAGACTATTCCATAATGAACTGTTATTTTACTCCATTGTCAAAAAAAGACTACTTATAGATTTTTTTTACAATATCAAATGACGGAACGAACAAGTCGTGTCTGATGATAAGCTGTCCATAACAATTGCAGTGCCACGCAGAGCTCGCAAAGATCTGAGGGGCACTGCCACTGCGTCCGTCACCCTGAGGCATAAGTTGACAAGTCCTAAGTGCCTGTAATTTCACCATGATCACTCTCACATTCACTAGGATTGTTCGAAATGCGGACTATATTTAATTTAGAGATATTTACTTGAACTTAGAAACAGAGGCTTAGAAACACTTCAGCAAACTTGTAAGACTTGTAACCAATAAATACGATTACTATGTAGCATGCTACTGAATATTGATTAACGTTTAACACTAAAATTATACGACAATTAATGCAATCATGTAAATAAGGCTCGTACCGATAAAGCAATTATTACGTACACGACTAATATGAACAATGAAAACGATACATACGACAATTTCTTGTACAGGGTATGTTTAGTAGGAGTAGAGGTCCTTGTGAAAGAGTTCATCCAGGGAAGTCCTGTCACCTTACTTATTTCTGCCGCCAAGCGGTATTGTGAGTATTACTGCGTTCCAGTTTTGAAGGCCAAGGTTACTGGTGAAATTACAGTCACATGGAACTTGTCAACTTATGTTCCAAGGTGTCGGGTGCATTGGCAGTACCCTCAGATCTTTGTGATCTAAAGCTCTGAGTGGTACTGCAACTGTTACGGACAGACATGTCGCTTACCACCAGGCGCACGACTTGTTCGTCCTTTCACATGGTAACAAAAAAGGGTTATTTGTGAAATCCTAATAACCTCGCAAAACTATATTACTAACACCATAGACAACAACTTTTGTTCCATGACTTTTTGCAAAACAAAATAAACATACCAAAAATATTTATTTTAAATGTGTATTTGATGTTGGTACTTGGTAAGTTCAAACGTGCAAGCACCCTACGCCACGCCACCCCGCATACAGTTATCACCGTTGAGATGAGATCACCGTGAGATGTATTTAAATATTTTTTTCAATCATGCTCGGAAATATTTGCATTGCTTCCAAAAAATGAACACGGAAAGTTTGTCATTTATGGACCACGCCACTTCTTCGCGGTCATGAAAAGTAAGTATAAAAATACTTAAAAAAAAAAAGAAAATGGTAGTAACATTTAAAGTGTTTTGGTATTCTTTTGTTTTGTCGTCTTTTTTGTATTTTGGTCGCGGAAATGAGTGCTAGTGAGAAGAGCGATAACGAAAATACAGTAATAGATACACATTCAAACACATCATCAGAAGTTCAGCAGACTACTATTATTAATGTGCGTGGAAAAAAATAAAAATTTTTTTAGGAAGTGTTCTAATACGTCAAATATTACTTTTAATATTAATTAATATTGATAAAATGTTTATAGATTTCTTATAGATGGCGCTGCGACTAAAAAGTCGTTGAAAAACCAAAAACAAAGACACGACAATAAGCACATAGAAAAATTCGTGAGGTCCGCTGGGCTATTTCGTGGCTTAGTTAGTATATAGCGTCTGGCACGGTATGCTAGTAGACGCGGTTCGAGTCCGGCCGGATCGAAGGATTTTTTTCTAAGTGTTCGATCTTTGTATCAATAATTATAACAAACTAGTGGAGTAATTTCACAAAAAATAATTGGATATCAATTGAATAAAAATTTTAAATTAACATTTTTTTTTACTTTTTCTATTAAACATCTTCCTCTCTATAGACTTTTATTATTTGCTCACATTGTTTGAGAAAAATTCTATACATGCCTCGGCGGGAACGGGGATTGCTTGACTCGTATTAATAATACAAGGCCTCGCTGTCGCCCGTCCTTGTAACTCATACTCGACTGGCAATCCCTTACTTTCCGGCCTAAACAATAATGTATTATTATTTTTGTACGAAAGTGAATTTGATGAATTAGCTATTAAAAGTCATGAAATGAAAGTTCTTGTTTATGATGTTAGTAATATAGTCCTGTGAGGTTGTTAGTATTTTACAAATAACCCTGTATAGGCAAACTAAAGATCATGCATAGAAATGGTTGCCGTCATAATGAATGCCAAAGAGTTATCATTAACGTTTCACATGGGATAAAACATGAAACGAACCGTCGAATGGTTAACAAGGCCCACAGGCCTAAAATTACCGAGGTTCACTCGCATAATTTTCACTCCAAACTCATCTTTTTGAGTCCTCTCCAATGAAGAGGGTATTCAAAGCAGCGGCATACCTTTTCATCCTTTTTAAGGTTTACGAGCTACGTAACGTCTAAAAAATTTTAATTTTAAGTCTCACATTACATTGTAATCGAAATTTTAGGTAAACAATTTCACAGTTCTTAAATTTTAATAAAATAATTTTGGATTGATTGTAACCTGCAAGAACATTTTATGTAGCTGGGTAGTGAATTCCTGTTATATTATAAACCAAATAAGTGTCGTAACTCAAAAATGATGAAATTTATTTATTTATTTAATCTTTTTGCACAACACAATTATGTACAAATGGCGGACGTAATGCCATAAGGCATTCTTTACCAGTCAACCATTGGGCCAAACAGAAAAAAACAAAAGGTTGGTGCTACACTAAAACAGAAAAAAAAGGAAAAAATATATCTATTAATATATCACTAATCAAAATTGTATGGTTAATTTACACGGTATAAAATAGACGTAATACAGCATAAACATACTTAATATACTTATATAATAAACAATACACATAATATATACATATGTATAATATATAGTAAACATAATATTGCTTAATAATAGCCACAGCAAATTATGCATCTTGATGTAGCAGATTGTTCAAGAAATTGAGAAAACAGGATTTGAAATTTCAAACAAATCTTATTGCGAATAATGGAATTATTTTTATTTATACATACGTTTAGTTATCATAATACTATACAAAGAGGTGCACGAAAGGAGCCTCCCGGCACAACGTATCATTCCTTTCCTATGCATTTAGAAACAATCGGTAAATACAATAAAAAGAAGATTATTATAAATGAGAATACATTTATTGGTTCCATTCAGTACTTTTTGAATTTTCAAATTGTGTTTTATCAATTCCATCATTTTTGAGTTATTTTGTTTCATGTGCGATATCAGAATATAAGTTTTCCTTTACAAAAAGAAGCGTACGCGCGATCTACATAACAAGGCACAATATATAAAGACACAATAGCAAAGAGACAACAGAAATAGAACTTACCTATTGTCGTGAGCGCCAACGTGCACCAATAATAACTTTGCAAATACTGTTTCACAACGTCCGCCGTTTCTGTGTCATGATACACCCAGTTTTTACTACCGAATCCATTGTTTTTATAAATTATATGGTACAAGCACCCGTTCCAATGGAATATCACTAATAAATAATGAATTAAACTTGTCGATCTAAATAAGTTAGGATAGTTCGTGTGGCGCTCAGTGCGGTCCATGAAAGCCCAGAAGCGGTAGATTTTGACTAGCCGAAAGGAGCGCAGGATCGAGTTGAACCCAATGGAGAGGTAAAGGAAGTCGAGCGGCAGCAGACACAGGCAGTCAATGTAGAATGTGGTCGAGTTCATGTAATGCGCCCGTAGCTTGGCCGCGTCTGTCTGCAGCACACCGTCCTCCAGGTACCCCGTCCGGAAGTGGAATAGAATGTCCGCCAAATACAAAAAGTCCGAAAAGTAATCCAGGCAGAACCACACTATTAACGTTTCACCTGCAACAAAATAAAAACACTTTAATATTACAAAACGGTAACCAGGGGCCTACCACAACATCTTAAAACAATATTACTTTAACCTTACTTTACTTTTCGTACTATAACGCGCTTAAAGTAAGGTTATTGTAATGTTAAAACTATGATGTTTTATTGGCAGCTTTGTTACTATTCATTCACTCAGTTCGTACCATGACGCGACTTTAACATTAAAGTAATATTGCTCTTATGTCAAATTTAGCAAACTTAAAATAGTTACACGGATGCAGTGAAAACAATATTATTTTCAGTTTTATTGTCTAAATATTGATTTGTAATGATTAAAAGTTAAGTTGAACTTATTTATTTAAATATATCTCTTCAATATGTTGTTAATTTTTTATTTAATAGCACATAGGAAATAATTTCTCGTTAAATAGAAATACGCGATGTTTATTTCGTTCGCAAAATTATGACAGCGACATCTATGTGCTACTTGGCGACGCTAAAAGTTGACACTAGACTATAATTCCGAATTCACAACGTGACTATCAAGACTCAGATGATTGAAAACGACGTAATTTTAATAGATTTTATTAATACATACTGTTCCTTTTTTAACAGTCGAAATTCTCGGAATGTAAATAACATTGAGTACTTAAAAATTATACTACGATAAGACGATTCGGAACATAAAAAACAAAGAGATGGCATTATATAGTACACATAATGTTATCTCTTCCCTATTTTTAGTAAGGAAAGGAAATTTTGGTAAATCATTCGTTCTTTCACTGTGTTTTATACATTACTTGGTTGACAGGTTCGTCATGGTATGAATATTAGTAATATTATGAGAGAAGGGATTGGGTGCTGGGGAAACTCTTCGCTTTGCAATTGAGAGCTATTTAGCCATGGCCGGGAGACTATAATGAATATGGGTGAAATTTCAAAATGTTACCTTGCAAAGTACTACAATTTATTTGAAACACATTTAACTTCGAAAGCTATTTAAGAAGTAATTTAATTCTCTTCCGAGCAAGTTCGAAGAAACTATGCAGTCTGCGCAAAGTCACTGCAGCCGCCTCGCCGCACATCTTAGGTTACCATCTTAAATGAAGACATCTTTGCATAAGCCCTAAAGTCAACAATGAATTTTTATCGATTTAAGCACTCTGTTTTTCTATTTTCGAGTTTATATGATGCAAATGTGTAAAAGCGCAACATATCAATGGTTTTATTGTTTACATTGCGTGCATATATGGAGACATGAGAAGAAATTCTAGACTACAATAAAGTAATCCACTTATCACACGCATACATAAATGCATTTTCCATAAATATAAGGCTTACATTAGATCGTTCAGAGTCCCGGTCAAAATGCGAGTGGTCCTGAACCCGTCAGTATCTCTCACAATAAATATGGAGCACGAAATTCTTATCAACGGTATGTAAGCACCCTTGTAAATAAATAAATAACGCACAAACTCATAGCCCCTCACTAGGGAAACCCTGTCTCGCGGGTGCCATGGACACACACGTAAATTATACCCAAACTCATGAGAGAAATAAATGTAGGTCATACAAATATTTCTGCCGGCCTGGGAATCGAACCCGGGTCCTCTGCATAGCAGACCAGGACGGTAACCGAGGCTGTTATATAATATTCGCTAATAAAACTGTTTGTTTTTAAGCGACTTCAAAAAAAGGAGGTTCTCAATTCGACGATTATATTAGAGTCCTTATGTTGTCACTTGTGACTCATAATAATATACATAATAATTAATAATAAATTCATAATAAGTGTCTTAGTACAAATAGCATCCAAGTTTATGAAATGTATTACGCTTTTAAATTTGAAAATGGCTAACATTAGTTTTTGGTGAAATATAAATTAAGTTAATAAAGTTTTACGTTATCAAGATTATTTGGAAATTTCAGTATTACATTTGGTTGTTTCCATACTTTATTTGCACAAAAGTTTTCAGTAACTTATTAAATAACGCAGTAATTATTAGAAATTCAAAATTAGAAGTAGAATAAAATTTAAGAACGGTTTTAAAAGCTGGTGTAACAGTGTGCAAAATTCTTCACCTATATTACGCTTTACCTTTAAATTGAAAATGAATTTAAATTGTAAACATATTAAAAGGATGTATTTGAAAGGCACGAAACTAACATCAGAATGTCGTGGAACATAAGAGACTCACCATTAATTTCTTGAAAAGCGAACCTATACACTATGACCCAGAGGTTGTAAAGGAAGGCAAGCGAAACGACCATGGACCAGTAGTAACACAGCCTGCCCGCGGGGTCGAACACAAACGACCAGTGTGGCCCCGAGCGTAGACGCCCGCTCGCGTACGTAGACCGTCGCCTGAGACCCACTCTGCTGCCGCTGCAAATAAAACTGACACTGAAAACAGACAGACGGACACGTGAGTGGTCATATAAGATTCTGTTTTTGGAGTACGTTACATCGCCGTAATGTTTTAAGCAGTATTTTCGCGAAAACACGATTTTCTAATTCAGCAATAACGCGTCTAAAATTTCCCGCAAAGCTCCGGTACACGCGGTGGCACTGCGTGTTCGTTCTTGTTGACGTGCGTAGGTACCCCGGTCAGGAATATAACCACAAATTACGTAATCGTAAGAACCAATTAATTTCAACATTCTTCAACACACTCCTCTTCTAAGGTTACTTTCACTTTTAACTTAGAAGAAAATTAGTGGAATCTACAGTGGTCGTACAATCTCGTGGTTATACTGCTTCAGCCGAGACGCTAATAAAACGGGATTGAAATAGCGCTATTGTTATCCTGTGACGACATAATATATAGGGTTGGTAAAATATTAAATTCAACCTAAAATATTTTCTAATTTATGAAAATATGAAACTCTACGTAAATTATGTACTTTACGTTGCACGAACAGTCACAAAAACTTACCCAGTAGTTTGGCTACATTAATGAAATAACTTTCTTCAGAATATACGCTAAGATTCAAATTTTTTATATTTCGCATTTTTTCCTCGCTGTACAAAAAGTTCTCTTCAACATTTTTTACTTAATTTAATTTTACTTTATATTATAGATTGCACAGCAAAAAATGACAATTTAATTTTGGAATTTTTAATATCGATGGAAAATAGTAAGGCTTGAGAATGAGCAGGTAAGCATTTTTGGCATTTACGGCACACTGAAATATATTTAGAATTTCTTTGTCAGTTCTTTAGCATAATTAAAAATATTATTCTTTTGTTAATTGGTTAGAGTAGCTGACACGAGTATATTACATACGAGCCCATTAACGCTACCGAAGATGAATTTAAATTGACTTTATATGTATTACAGGATTGGCAACTTAGATTACCTATGCACATAAGGATTAAAGCAGGTGCAAATGTACGATATCGTTTGCTTAAAAGTAAAACCACATAACTGATATTTTTCACAAAAAATCTCTAAATTATGTACCTGTTGTAAGAAAATCACCATCTTTCTACAGATAAAACTCTCATTAACTTTATAGCTTTCTTGTTATTGAGTTTCACGTGCAGAAAGATAGGGATTAACTTACCATAGCTAAATAAATTAAAAACTTTTTGTTTAAGATGTCACTTATGTGGTTTTACCTTTAAATAGACGGTATGTAAGTAGAATTATTTGCATTAGTTGATTGTTTGGAATTGGCTCCGATTCAGCCGAGGGCCCGGGTTGTTGATAATTCCACTTGGGGAGTAATCGAATATCAGGTTTCACTACCTGAGGGCCGCAAAGATATCGATAGTGTGTACTATGTATCCAATTAATTTCCTTAATACAGAGCGTAGGCGCTCGCCCGCCTGATTGTGGTGCCAATAATGCCGCCACTTAGAAAGACGGCCAAACTTCGCTTTGAAATCTCGTTATAAATTCTTACTGACATTTATTCAATACCTCTTTGGAATCTGTGTTGAGATATTGTTCAGAGTGTAATAGAATAATGAAAATTGGATTTATTGTCATTCTCGACGTATCGGTATCATTGTAACTGTCACGCCCGCCGAATAGCCGGCTAGAATCTGATAACCTTGTACCACCAAAATTCCAATTTATAACGTCACGTGAAATGATATTTTATAATATTTGAACAATGTATCGAGCACACAGTGACACAATGACAAGTTTTGCCAATGATACAATCAGTATCTCAAATAAATAGCTCAATTTCGGTCCCGGTAAATATTTATGTATATATTTTGCAAACGTAATAATTTCGCGTTTTAATTAATTAATAAATTACTCAGCGAATCCCTTTGATGACAGTCAATAGAAATAATTGGATATAGCAAAGACCACCTGCGGACCCGGTCCGCCAATTTATTTCATTACGTTATACAATAGGGACTGTGTTAATAGAGCGCTACCGCTAACAATCTGGTGAGACTTTTATCAGATTAATTTAAGTTCTAACATAATAAAGCATGATATATGGGTAGCTTATATATTCTCGTCTATGCGGGAAATTACTTTTTCTCAAACATGCTCGGAAATGTTTGTATTACTTTCAAAAAACGAATTCGGAAAGTTTGTCATTTATGGACCGTGCGACTTCATCCCGACCAAGGTCTGCAAAGTATCTACCTATGAAAATCCACTGCTGTCTGCTTCTCTAAACTAAATCTACCTACTAATAATCAACTATGTAAACAGACAAAAGAAAAATTCATACAGCCAACAATATAATGTTCGTAATTGCGAGTATTAAAAATACCGACGTGTATTGCTTACTTAAAAAATAAAGGAAAAGGCGGTAAAATAAACTAAAGTGCTTTCTATTCTTTTCTGCATTTAATTTTTTTTCTTGCGAAAATGAGTTCTAGTGGGAAAAGCGATAACGACACACAGTAATGCATTGTACTCCGCTTAATTTAAAACAAGAGACAATATTAGCCATGGAACAAGAAGTCCTAACTTGTCAAATATTACTTTTTCTATTAGGATTCGCTCTGGACCTTTTGGAGGGAAAAGTGTCGTTTTTATTTTGACTTTCAATTATTTTGTGAAATCTAGTTTAAAGTGGAATAGGATAGTGCTATTGTGCCTTAATCGAAGATTAAACGCGAAATTATACGAATCTCAAACTAAAATACCCGTATCGGCCGGCCCGTTCTAAGGAATCCCGAGTCCTCTTTGTGGCGGCCATTTTTACAGAAACATAATTAAACGAAGACATGGCTCAAAAGACTTAATAATGTACCAAGACTTGGCTGCATGGTGTAAAACCTTTGCCTTTTCCTTTATGGAAAGCAGAAAAAAAAAATTTCTATTGATTTTTTTTTGAGTTTTTCTCATCTTCCTATCTTTTATGATTTCCTCACATTGTTTGAGAGAAGCACTATATAGGCCTCGGCGGGAACGGGGATTGGTTGACTCGTGTTAATATTCTTCTCATACTCATACTCGTCCAGCAATCCCTTACTTCCCAGCCTCTGCAATACTATACTTAATCCGCTTATAATTTTGTCTACCTACCTATCATCATTTTATAGACTAGCGATCAGCGGCCTCTGCAATAATGTACTATACTTAACCCGCTTATAATTTTGTCTACCCACCTATCATCATTTTATCTAACCAGAAGTTATCTGGTTCTAATAAAGAAATTAATAAATGAATGTCTTTTTTTTAAGTAAATGGATTTGCCCTCGACCACTTCTAAGCCCTGAAGCCTGGAGGGTCTACGATGAAATGAGCTCGCATGTAAGATGCTTATTCAGTCGCACCTGCAAAATACTCGGGTTATGCGTACTCAGAAACACAATCACAGGCAATATATTACATTATAATATATTTGGACGACTTCTCTGAGATTTCCATAACACAAGTGCTTTAGTTACTTACTTTGGTATCAGAGTAATGTGTGTAATGTTGTCTAATATTTACATTTAGATTACATTATATAAAAAAAAAATTAAAAAAATTCCATCATTCGGATGGAAATTTTGTAGTTGGACTTGTTAAGGCCTTCGCCGAGGCTCTTGCTGGCTTGGAAAGTTAGAAACTGACGGTGGGCCATTGTAATCGTAACTAAATTGGATAGTTACCTGTCAGTGCCGTTGCAATGCGGTGCCGCGAGGTGGTTGTGCGAGTGGTGCGGCGCGGGCGTGGCGGGCGTGTGCGGTGTGCTACGCCACCCTGTCAACAGCGGCGCTTCGCCGCTTGCTGCTAAGAGTTTTAACCTGCACAACACACAAATCAAGTTTTAGTACTAAATGCTCGCAGAAATATTTAATGTAAATGTAATGAAATTTAAATAAGTACCAACATTTTGTTTATAGTTAAGGTACATCGACAGTATTGCATATACTTTTAGATAAGACTGTAATTTACATGTATAGGTTTGTATACCTATTAGAAACCTACACAGCATTTAATGTATAAGCAACAAAAAGAACTAAATAGACCTTATGAAGTTACTGGCGAAGCGGTTCGAGATAATTATTTTTAAAACATTACGGGAAAAATGAAAAATCTTTATATCAATTCGAGCGTTAATTTGGTTGTAATAGGTAAATAGGGCATAATCTAGGTTAAACAGCGTCCCCCCCGAAGGGGTTCCCGCCTTGTCGTGGCGGGGGGGCTCTAGTAGCCGTGGTCGATTTTATCCCACGGTGAAGCTAAGAGGAACCCACGGGGCCGGCCGATGGTGGTAGGCTGGCCCGAGGAGGAGGGCGTTCCGCGCGGGGCCCGTTTGGCCAGCGGGACCGCGCGGATGCGCGAGGAGGAGGGTCGCGGGGGGAGAGACGTGTCGGTGTGTCGTTGCCGCTCGTCCTGTCCTCCGCGACCCTGGCGGGGCTGCACCGCTTTTAATGATGCAGTGGCGGCGGGGCCGCGGGGGAAGAGACGTGTCGGTGTGTCGTTGCCGCTCGTCCTATCCTCCGCGGCCGAATGTGGGCGGTTGACCCGTGGTAGGCGCTCCAAGGGACTCTCTTCGGAGAGTCTGCGCGGAAGCGCGTTAGGTGTTGCGGCGGAGCCTGTCATCAGATCCGCCGCGGGGACTGGGGGAGCAGCCACTGAACTTCACAGTTGAGTGGATGCTGTCCTGGCCCCCCATGGCCCCTGGGTAGCGGACTCGGGGGAGTTCGCTGCCCAGCATAAAGGGGCCCGGGATGGAAGGCTCGTCTCGTGTTCGGCGAGCCTCACATTCGGAGTCGGAGGACCGATGTGTCTCCCTTCTCGGGGAAGGGCTGCGCAGGGCGCGGCCAGCCGCTGGTGGGGGCGCGGACGAGTGCAACAGCGTACCCGTACCCCCACCTACAGCGGAGAGGAGGAACACTGCGGGGGTTTAGTGCGGTCGGGCTGCTCCCCTTCAGGGTTCAGCCCAGTCCCACATAACCCCGGCTCTGCCCCC